GACCCTCTACTCTTGGCATGCCAACTATACCTATAGTTCTCATCTACATAACATGGGCTTTTACATTTCACGTAGTCTATATCGCGTAGACATGTAATTCCTTACCTTTTCACATAGCTCATAACTTTTCCCATATATTCATGTCATATAATGCATTTCATATGAACTCATGTCATGTCTCATAATACAGAATATGCTCATGTATCAAGATATAAAATCTAGACTTATCACAAGTCTAGAATGAAGTATATTTCTATAATCATGCTATGCATATGCACTCACCTATATTTCTTTGCCTTTTCCACGATCGATCCTACTTGTAGATTGTTCCCGAACTCGAGTAGGCTCGGTATCTGCATAAACATAATTTTCAAGATGATCATCAGATGTCTATGTCTTGAAATTAAGCTTTAATAGCTTACTAATTTAAGGAATTTATAGCTTAGTCTTTCTTTCTTTTCTTTCTCTTTTTTTTTCATGGGGGAATCGGTTCCCCCCCCTGGGGTATCGATTCCCCACTAGCATTCTGGAATTCATATTCGTTGAGGGGGTATCGGTTCCCCCCTGGGGGTATCGATTCCCCTCTAGTATACTGGAAGTTCATATTCGTTGAGGGGGTATCGGTTCCCCTTGAATGGGTACCGATTCCCCTAGCCCGAAAATCCTAATTTGAGCTCGGAAATCATCCCATTTCAGCTCAAACATACATATCTCACTCTCTTTACTACTCTTAGCTTTCATACACTTACTTTAACTAATTATTATCCATTAAATACCTCTAAAACTTAGAAATCTAATTCTCCATGTAGAATTTAAGAATCCAACCCAAATTCCAATATGTTCTAATTTGAATTCTAACACCTCATACTTCTTAGTTAGCTTCTTGACAAGTCAAAAAATCTTATTCAAACTTCAAAAACTCATTCCTATCAAAATTTCATCTAAAAATTCATTTTCCAAATCTATCTCTAAAACACTTATCTTGTTGTTTTAATGTCATATAAGCTTTCCTTTAGCTTATATAACATCCAAACTTTCATTTCCAATCTTAAAAATCAAAGAAACTACCAAGGTTCAGATTCTTACCTTTACTTGCAAGCTCCACGTTGAGAGAAGGAAGAGAAGAAAATAAGGAAGAAGGAAGAATAAATGGGAGGGTTCTGGAACCTAATGTCACACGTGGGTTCTCATATAACCCCATAACATTTTATTTTAATTAAAAATTCCTTACAAATGACCATTTGGTCCTTACCTCCATCTCATATTTACTAACCATACTTTTTAAACTATATAATTATTCTACTTTAATCACCAAATGTTGAAACTTTGCAAATTAATCACTCACCCGACATGGAGGATGTTACAACTATGGTCAGCGTTTCGTTTTCCACATTAATACTAAATGTGCGTTTGGTTGACGGAATGTAAAATTATCAGTACGAATAAAAGATTACCAGGGAAATAAAATATTACCAGAGAATAGGATTACTGGGAATGTTGTATTTTGTGTTTAGTTGGTTTAGCAGAAATATAAGATTACCGTGTTTGTTTAAAGAAATAAAATTTATTGGAATGTATATTTGATCAAATTGTCCTTATTATATATTTGTTTTTTAATAAGTTGAATTCTACTATAATTTTACAATAAGATATTTATATATATATATATATATATATTTAAAATTTAAATTCATAAAATTTATATAATTTTTTTTACAAAATTGAAAATATAAAAAGGTTTAATGAAAGGGTAAAATTTTATTTTAACCCCTGAACTTCATATAAAATTTTAATTAGACTTTTTTGTAAATCTAAAATTGTTTAAGGATAAATTTGTAATTTAACCTTCATGGAATTTTTATTATTCAATGACAGAAGAAGAATATTTTTGAAAAAAAAAATTAAAGGTATTTTAGTCCAAAACACCGGTAATAAAACAATACCTAAGGGAATGAGTAATAACATTTCCGGTAATATACCCCAAAAAATCTATTGTTGTTAATAAAATATTATCGGGAATGAGATTACTAGTCAACCAAACGGAGAATGTGAATTCTATTCCCGGAGAAATTTCACATTCTCCGAACCAAACACGCCTAAGAGTTACTGGTTAGCTCTTCTCTTGGGTTGAAAATAAAAAAAACCCGAAAAAATTGAAAATCGAGTCAAATCGTAGTATTAGTTTGATGTCATATTTCAGTCAATTATTATTTAAGTATATTCGATTTCATTCATCTGACAACTTTGTGTAAAGGGAAAATACCTTTCACTATCTTATCATGGTTTCCACCACAAGCATCCTAGGTATCGCCTAAGGCTTGTGTTTCCACCTGCACTAACTGCTACCCTAACCCTAATGATATGTGTATGTTTTGCTATATTGTTTTTTTCCCGTTAAACGTGCTTTGATTTGTTTATATAACTTGATGAGTAATGTTAAGAGGAATCACTCAGGGATGACGCAATTATTAAAAAATTAAATTCTTATATATTTTAGATTTTTTTATATTTTCTATTGATAATATGTTTCCCTCTTAAAATTTTATAAATTCATCTTCTAACATAAAAATTTATATTCATCCTTCTGGATCAGTATATTTTTTCGTTGAATCAATATATCTTGTTTCTATATATGCACGTTTACAAGTTTTGGAACCTGTATCGTATTTTATTCACCCTCTCGATAAGACTTGTTATGATCGGAGGTGGATTAATTGGTTACGTCTTATATGATATGGTCCATTACTACGTGCATCATGGCCGACCCACCAAACAATCCATAAAAAGCAGATGAGAAAAGTACATAGAGAAGAGATATCGTAAAGTTGATCGTGTAGGTGCATGTAATCAATATTGTCTCTGTTAAAGACATTAAATAATTTGGTCGTGTAGGTTCATGTAGCTAATGCTGTCCCTGTGAAAAACATTAAATAATTTGGTCGTGTGGGTTCATCGTCCATGTAGGTTGTTGTCCTTGTATTGCAGCTCTATGGTGACTGTGTTGTTATAGATGTGTTGGTGCTTCAGGTTATCTTTAAAATAAAATGGATAGTTAATTGGCGAAAGTACATATGCTTATCAATGATTATTAATAGGATGGTCATTTGTCGGATTAGGTTTTATCTATCCGAACTCAATTCAAAAATTAAATTTCTCAACTCGATCGACCTAATTTTGAGGTATAAATAGTGATGTTATTGTATTTACCTCTAAATTTATTAGATTTATTTATAATATTATCTCATGTTGAGTTGAAAATTTTCACCCTAAACTCGAACTTGATCTGACCCTATCATTAAAAAAATGATTTGACTTATTCAAAACTCAAATTTTAAAAAAACGATCGAATCAGAACTCATCGGATTCGGGTTATACACTCATCTATAATTATTAAAATATAGGGGAAATTATTTAATATACGAACAGAATAAAATTTTATATTTCATACTCTTTTTATTTTTTTAATAGAAGCCACTAATTTTATTAAAAATAAAAAATATATAAACTAAAATAAATATTTGCAATTACAACTGTAAACTAAACATATAATAATTAAGAATATATTCCTAAACACAAGAAAACTAGTCACTTAAGATCACATAAAGACCATACAAGGAAAAAAGTTAAAAAAACATAACCCAATAAACCCGAACAAGAGATAAATACAAATAGATCTGACTGCATCGACAAACGAACCACAAAAGAGAATAAAGCTATTGAAAGACCACCGACATGCCTCAAATCAGAATCGAGCGATGTGAAAATATTATCCACGAACGCAAATCGTATATCCAAATTCAATCCAAGGTCCAAAGCAGGGAAGATCATCATGATAACAAATAAGTGTCATCTTGATCAGTCGTGAGGATGTTAAATCTAACCCTGAAAAAAACTTAACGAAACAACGACCAAACAACCGAAAATGTGTCATAGAGACAGAGAAAAATGTGTCATGAAGACATAAGAATACGTGTCAAAAAGGGCATAATTATTAAAAATAAAAAATAAGATAAAACAAAATACGATGTAATAAAATAAAGGAAAATAATTAATACATACGATTGAGAACAATACTAAGGCTGGTGTCGTCGCCATCACAAAGATAAAGATGAAATGAGACTAACTATGGAAAAAGAGAGAAAAAGAGAACAAACCCTAGTTACTTAGTATTGTTGTATCATACTCTTTTTATTTTAATATTAAAAAATTTATAAAAGTTATATAGAATATAAATTAAATAAATAAATTAAAGTTTGATTTGATTTTTATTATATTTTTAAAAACAAATAAACCCATTTATTTTTTATATTAAACTTGTATAATTATTTACGTACGCAAAATGTAAATATAAAATGATGTTATACCAATAGTGATTTTAGTGATTTATAGAAACTGAATCAAATCAAAATTTTATATTGATAATAATGAAAAATCAAAATTCATGTATCATATATATTACAGTAAATCTCTGATTTTCTATACCCACTATACCCCTTCAATTACTTTTATTTGTGTATTGATTGATGATGTTGACTGTAATTTTCTATCGCTTTAAATCTTTGATTGACTATATAAAAAAATGAAAAAGAAAAATAATTATTATTAACATTGGTGGGGGTCGAAGTGTACTTTTCTTCATTTAATAAAAGGGTCAAACATCAGGAAATATTGTTCTGAAATTCTTGAGGATTGATTTTGAATTTTCTTTGATTGGTTTAATTGTACAAGACATCCTCAAACTATGACTTAAATTCTAAATAGGAATCTAAACTTTTAAATATTCTAATTGAATCCTTAAAACGTAAACATGGTATCAATTATGTTTTTTTTTCTTCAATCCAGTCGTCGATTTGAACTATAAATTTTAACTATGAATATGACATAGAACATATTTAAAACACGTAGATCAAATTTTGAGTGCGTATACTCTATTACATCTCCAACGACCTAATACGGACATAAATTTATTTAATGCCTTGTTGAACAGAAGATGCCGAGTACTATCCGCTCTTCTCTGCTGCTTTCGTTGTTGGTAAGGTTCCAAAAACTCCGTCCCATAACGCCGTCGTTATCCCAAAACCCTTGTTTTGAATCCTAAAGTGATGGTTCAAGTGATATTTCTGCACTCAACACGTATGCTCTCGTCAAAAATATGATCCTCGGTACCAAATCGACATCAGATATAGTAATCGATACGTGTCGTTAAGTTTCATTCCGGATAAAATTTTGATATGTTTTGAGTGTTTCAGCCAATATTGACGTATACGGAATAAAAAGATGTTTACGAATACGATGCTGATAATCTTTACATGGGATTAAAATTTTATAGAACAATGATGAAATTTAAATTTTGCTAACGCTAAAATTGAACTAACCAGAGATTTTTAAACGAATTTTTAAATTTATTCTGTTAGCTTATTTAATTTTAACAATTAACTCAGCTCAATTTTCAGTTTTAGAATTCTAAATCAAATAAGTTTGTATGTTTAATTAGTTTTTTTAATGATAAAATTGATTTAGTTTGTATGTTTAATTAGTTTTTTTGTACTTTTTAATATGTAAAAACTGAATCAATCATATGCATACTCTTAATCGTTTTTTAAATCTCAATCATCTGTTTCAGCTCATTCAATAATTATAATTTCGTGTAAAACTAAAACCCGGTCTTCATAGTTTAACTTTAAATTAGAAGAAAGAGATTGAAGCACTTGCAAATTAGTCTTACCTTAAGGCTTTTAAGACTTTGCTTGGTGGGCTGACCGTGGTGTACATAGTAATGGATCATATCATACATAACATATCCAATCAATCCACCTCCAAACATTACGGGCCTTGTCGAGAGAGTGAACAAAATCCCATACAGATTCCAAAACTGATAAGAACATAAAATTAAAAATAAACATATTATGAATATATATATTATTTTGTAATCACCGTACTGTTAAAAAAAAGAATTAACCAAAAATCAAGGTTTTGTTACAAAAAATCAACATCGAATTCTGATTTCATCATCTTAAAAGTATATTCAGTTTATCTTGATCTGATCTTAACACGATTTCTGACTTGGTCCCAAATTATGTAAGAGGAAACAAAAAAAAATAAAGGATATGCATACCATTAGGGCTAGTATAGCAGCTTCTGCAGGTGGAATCACAAGCCTTAGGCCATCCATAGGATGCTTGTGGTGGCAACCATGGATGAGATAGTGAAAGGTGTTTCCCCTTTACACAAAGTTGTCAATGAATTAGTACATCATTCATAACAAAAATATAAACTACTTTTGTATGTGGGAGAGATGATGAGTTGATTCGAATTTATTTCGAATTTTTGTAAAACAAAAAGGTACGAATTCTATGAAACGGTTCGGGTTTTATATCCTTAAACTACTATAAGGATGAAGAAAGAACTAACCAATAACTAGTAGTATCGATATGGAAAAGGAAACGATGAAAACAATACTCGATAAATGTCCATACAAAGGCCCCAACAATAGCCAGTATGACCACAATGGGAAGTGTATGGCCCATGGTGTATGACAATCTGATGAAATATAATCCAACAGGCACCCATATGACCGGCACTACCCACCACAGTGTCCGAGTGAACATCTGTTTCATGGTCAAACAATGGGAAAGAAGTAAAATTTCGATACAACTCGATCTGAATTAATAAAAAATCAATCGAATCCATATTAAATACTTAAAAGAAATGTCTTCGAAGTACCTCCAAGAAATCACTCTCGAAAAACCGAGGACTTTCCTCGGTCAGAATAGGCGTGCTAACCCATTCTTGATAAGTTTCCCCAAGGTGACCAACCTGCCATAATCAAGAGATTAACTCGGAAAATCCGAAGTTTTTCCAATTTTATTTTCTCCGTTCACAAAAACACAAGAGCTTCGAGCTTATATAAATCCCAGAATAAAAAAGGCAGTACAAGTACCTGAAACACAAGGGGTTTACTCAAATCAACAGTGAAACCCTTTCCGGACATGTCTGCAGCTGCAACAAAACATAAGACAACATGGAAAACAACGAAATCCCAAATCCAAATAAGCAAATATGAACTCACGAAGCTTAAGAGTGAGATTGAAATGATGAACAGAGAGGAGGGATTTAGGGTTGTAATTTGTAAGAGAATCAAAATGTGTGGGGAATTAATGAATTGAGAAGTGAATTCCAACAAGGATGAAAATTTTCAAGAATATACAATTATATGACTTTTTGTCTACCAGATACGTATTCCAAAGAACAAATTGTCACTGTCTCTTTCTCTCGCGACTTTGATTTCAACTACTTTTTTTTTATTTGAAGTATTTGGAGTGGAATATGGGCTGGTTTTGTTGTACGTTAATTAATTTAAGATGATTATTAACTTAAAATATATTATGCTTAATTTAAAAATATATATAAATTTATATCATTTTCTACTAGAATCGATCAAAAATGTTACACTGCCAAGCTTTTAGAGTTTACAAACTTCTAAATAGACTAAAAGTTTTAAGTAGATTTTTTATTTATTTACAAGACTTAAATTGAAGATCATATATTTTTTTATATCGAGCTGCTAACAAGACAAGAAAGCAATAGTTAAGACCCCTTATTAGCAGCCTAATCACGTTGAATCATAAAAACCCGTGGTAGTTTTGAAAGAATTACGGACAATGACAACACATGTGATCCGAGCTACGACTATGATGACTATTAATTTAGAAGAAAAGTTCAGTGATTATATTATACTTTTTAAAAGTTCAATGATTAAAATATAATAATGATGAAACTTTAGTGACCAATTACATAACTCACCCTAGTTTTAACATGAAATAATATAGGGTAAGATTTACTTTCAAACATGCAATTATTGGTGCTCTGTGTCGGGTCCCACTTCTTTTTAACAGAAATAATACAGTGTAATATTTACTTTCAGTCGATGCTAACGAGGTTTCAACCTTTTACTCAGTCAAGGGAATACGTCATCTATCATTTAACTGAAAAATGGTTAAACTGTTCAATCACCAATAATTTTATGCATTATATATAAAGTAAGATTTGTTGATATAACGTGTAATTTTATATCTTTAAAATTATTAGATAACTGAAAATGAATGATTAAGATTAATGTGAATAAATTTTTACGAAAAATTTGAATTATTTTTAATTTGAAAATTTTAATCTTAATCCTTATATTTAATTAATTCAATAATTCTAAAGAGGTATAAAACGTAAAAATTATAAAATGCATGAGTAGATCTTTATTAGGGATGGTAACATTTTGGGTTAGGTTTTTAGTCTATTCAATATGACTTGAGAAACATATCCCGACTCAAATCTAACCTAACTCGAGTTTAGGGAGGTCTTATCCTACTTGAAGTTTGACTCAAAATTTAAGATAAAAATCACACCTGACTCGATATAAATATTAAAAAAAATCTTATTTTTATTTGATAAAATAAGATCTATTTGAAAATTTTATAGGAGTATTATAGCAATTATCTATAAATATATATCTAAAAAATCTTACTATTATCTTGTATTGGGTTTAATCAAATATTTTTCACTCTAAATTTGAACATGATTTAACCTAACCCTTTATAAAATTTGACCCAGCCTAAACTTGATTATTTTGAAAAATAAGATCCTATCGAATCATATTAAAATCGGTCAAATTCAAATAAAATTAGAATCCCTAATCCTAAATCTACATAACTTTATGTATATTTTTAAAAAGTGCATTCTTTTAATTAGAAAATATTTTTTTTTAAATTCAAAATCAAGACTTCAAAAATTTAGATCTCCCTATATCATTAAATTAAAGTATAAACAATTATAGATAATTTATGATGCATATATATGATCGAATGATTGGACTTTCATGTAGGAATATTTTATTTTATAAAAAATAGAGAATTATAATAAAATTAAGATCAAATATTAAAAGGACGTGAATTATTTAACTTCAAGACAAGGACCTCTTAATATTTAAATTAAAAATTCTAAATGATAAGATTTAATTTAATTAATATTTAAATGGAGACAGACTTATTTTTTTCTTTCCAAATTTTAATTTATTATTGATATATCATATAAGACAAATAGTATATCATGTTACCATTAAATATACATAAATTATTATGTGGACTCGCACACCAATACTGTTAAAAAATAATATTGTTTTAATCTATTACGATCTCATGTTGATTATATATGTTTATAAACCTCTAATTGATTAGTTTAAAACTAATTTACTGATAAAAAGAAAAAATTATTTTTCTCAAAAATCTTAAGTTTAAATAAATTACATCTATAGTACGTGTACATAATCAATAAATCAAAAAAATTCAAAACAGATATCATCATATAATTATATCGTAATATTAAAAAATATAATCAATTTTCAAAGTTAATTGCGGTGAGTAAAACATCCAATCACACTAGTGAATGAATGTGGAAAGTGAATGAATGTGGAAAGTGTATCACACCAATTCATGCATTTATTGGCTATATGGTGATATCATGGGTGGTAATTCTATATCGAGACAAAAGTTTGCATATAAGTGCTATTTTTCACATAATTTTTGGATAAGTTGTACAATGTGTTACTATGTTATTAGTACTTTTATAATTGAATCATTACATTTTAAAAAAATTATAAGCAGGTCATTCCATTCATCGAATGTTTCAATAAGATTATTGTGCCATTATATATCAAATAGAAGTTGGCTTTCTGTATGTGGGGGAAAATTTACACTTTGGTCACCCGACTTTCGTTTGTGCATAAACATATTAGATTTTCTTCTTCTTATAGGTTAATTATAATTCTTTTTGGACAAAAGTTTTTTGATTTTTTTTGTACATCATGAATCTGCAAAGAAAAAACGCAAATAATATTTTCTACTTGAATTATTGCATTATCATTTGTCCTCACTGCTTGTCTCTTTGCAATCATCATCGTTGTTTATAAGTTCATTACATGTAAACCCTAGACTCGACTTATGCATTATGATCATATCTAGCAAATTACAGTAAAATTTTTCAAAACATTCTTTTATAATTTAAATCTATATTATAAATAATATCTTTAAAACGTAGTAAATAACAATAAAATCCAAAAGAGTAAAGACAAAACCTTAAGTAATTGAGTAAAATAAAATATGTCATACCCATTGGGGATAAGAGCAAACCTAAGGGAGCATATTGGGGCCTCAAAGTCTACCCAAGGGTCGCTTTAAGTCCGTAAGGAATTATCAGCTTGATCATAGTTGAACCTCCATACTCCAGTATCCTACCCAAAAAAATCTCAATAAAATAGTTCACACAGTAAGCAGTGAATTCAATAATCCATAAATCGACATAATCATATCTTTCAGTGAAAACAAGTAGCCCGATAACATCTATCAAACAACCATGGTTCATAAACAATCAATCAATAAATCAGTAAATTATAACATCGAATTGTTAAAAGATTCAGTAAATTAATAATTTTGGTAAATCACATTTCAAAACAAATAAAGCAATCATATATCACATAAGGAACACGCATAGCAAAAGGGGATCAGTTGGTAAGTCTACTGAGCACCTACCTAGCCACGCTCTACAGCAGTGCTCGAACCTAATTCATAATAAACTGAGTTAATATTGGAATAATATTTTAATTTGAATATTTCTTAGGGTTTATGGATCATACGAGTAATCACTGGCTTGCGAGGTCAATCATATCGAGAGGAGCTAGGTCGAGCTGTTGAAGGTCGGGAGATTCTCATGTATCTTCAAATAAAAATATCTTAGATAAGTCGTTAACCTTAATTTAATTATTCTTAAATAAAATACTTAAATACATATGTATGTTCCGGTTTGAAGGTAAATTTGGAGGCTTTCAAGTTTGAATTTGATAAAACGAACTTCAGATTCGGACTCAAAATGCTGAAAAACATAAAATATGATTTTTCAAAAAATTTGACTTTTTGGTCAAAGTTAAAGTCAACACTGATCAAAGTCAACGATCAAGTCAACAACTTGAATCTGTTCGAGTTAACTCAACGAGTTGTCTCAGCATGACCCGGTTAAATCTGACTAGACCGGTTTCAAAAGTCTTCTGGACCGACCGAGAAGCCCCACGCGTACTGTCGACGGTGGTGATAGAGGTCATTTTATACTTCCTATCACTTCTAATTCAACGATTAACCTAATCCTACTAACATCAAGCCCAAAATCACATTAGAAACTTGCCAAAATCACCGAAAAACATTTGGAAAATTACCTTCAACGGTAGGCGACGACGCGTGATGACGGAAGGGGTTAATCGCTTGGGTTTTGTCCACACGATGCATATTAAGCTAATAACAGTGATGATGTGTTGCAACGCCGATAGAATCAACTAGAAAATGAAGAAATTATGGAGGTTGCAAGGGTTCTCCAATGATCATTCGAATGTTTATTAACAATTAACGACGACGATGCTCGGTTTGAATCCAATGAAGTTTCGGTTGTTGAATAGCGGCGAGTCGGATACTGGCAGCGGTGTAGGCTACGACGGATGGGCGATGGTGGATTGGTGAGGGTTGGCGGTGAGGTTAGGGATTTGGGGTTGGGAAATTTGAGGATAAAAGTGTTTTTTATTCTGTAATTGGGGATGACTTTGGGTTACCCGAGCCTTAAGCAATCAAAACATATATTTAATTAAAAATATCACAAACAATGACCTAGACTAAATGGTAGGGTGATAGTTGGCCATAATGATGAATAAGGGTTTGAAACCCCTCAATCACACTTTTATATTTTATTTTTTTCTCAACCGTCTAAAAAGGGGAAATTAAGGGTTAAGTCCCTAATCTTCCTACAGATTCAAAATCAAGATGCAAGCTTCAAAAACTTGTAATTTATTCCATAAATTAACTAAATTAATTTTTAATTTTAAAATGGGGGTGTGACAATTATCCCCTTAAACAAATTTCGTTGTCGAAATTTACCTAAAATAAACATATGTGGAAACTGAGTTTTCATTGATTTCTTTGTCTCGCAGATGACTTCTGCATGACCACGGTTACTCCACTGAACCTTTACCATCGGGATACGTTTGTTCCTCAGCATTCTCTCATCTCGATTTAAAATCTGAATAAACTCCTCATCATATGATAAATTTGTCCTCTACTCAAC